GAGGTCTATGTACATAATATTTATAGGTTAAGTATTAAGGTAGCAGATGGACCTCTACTTCAGCTCTCCCTCAATGCAAGAACACCTTGTTCTAACATTCCGGCATTCTGTGATGCTCACCTTCCCACCACAATAGTTGAAGACAAAATGGGTGCATAAGCTAATGTGAAGAAAGGTGGAGAAAGGGGGAACCGATCACAATGATCGACGTACAACACCACCACCACCACACACACCTTTCACCAGGGGGACAACAACAAAAACATGGGTGAAGGGAGACAGCAGATGGTATAAAATGTAAAAAAACTAATTTATAAATTATCGAGGTGGGAGTGTGGATGAAGGCGGGGGAAAAAGAACTGATACCAAGGACTCACGTAGAAAGAAAATGTTTTGGAAATGATGGCTACCTACATATGTAGAAATGCACTTGATAGAATTGATGTATGGGTTGTTATGAGCTGTGAAAGCCCCAGATAAATATTTTTCAAAAAAAAGAAATACCTGTCATCATTAGTCATGCAAAAGAAGCAAATCGGAACAACATTGAAAGAACAGCTCACCCCAAGATTGATAACAAAGTTAAACAAACAACAGAAGACAACAAATGCTGGAGAGAGTATGGGGAGACTGGAAACCTTGTATCTACTGGTGGAACTGTAAAATGATATAGCCACTGTGGAAACCAGTACGGATTTTCATCAACAGATTGGGAATAAAAACACTGTATGACCCAGCAATCTCTCTACCAGTCCTAAAGCAGTCAGTTCCCTGTGCACACCCATGTTCATTGCAGCACTATTCACAATAGCAAAAAACAAAGGAACCCATGGAAATGCTCATCGGTGAAAGAATGGATAAACAGATGTGGGGGCCTACATATAGCGGGATGCTATGCAACCTTAAAAAATAACTTCTTAATATGATTGAACTATTGAATTGTGTTGATATGTGAATTATATGTCAAGAGAAGTTTAAAAAAAAATAACAGGGACTCCGTGAAACACTTCATGACATACATGTACCTGGAGGACATTACACTGAATGAAATTAGTCAAAAAAGGACAAATAATGTATGAGACCACTGTTACACAAAAAAACACCAAGAGAAGGTTTTCACACCAAAAGAAACAAATGTTGATGGTTACCAGAGAAGGAAGGGGAAGGCCAGGCTAGAAGATAGAAGTGTCTTGTTGGTGAAGGGAAAGACAATATCTAACTAGAGGGAGATGGATATGCACAGGCAGAATTATAGGAACGGGCAAGATTGCTTTGATGAATGTAGAGGCTAGTAGTTGAATGCTGAACTGCTGATCTGCTATGTTAAAGCCTCACCTAACTCACAATAAAATGTTTGTTTTTAAGAAATGGGTAGTGGGGGCACAGGGCACTAACCCACCCAAGGGGAGGGTATTGTTTATATCTCCACAGGGAAAGAGGGACCAGATTTCAACCCGGTGCTCCAAGATGTGAATGCAACATATTGGCATGAAGCAGGGAACCAGTAGAGAGGTCTGAGGAGCCTGCCCCAATCCCAACTACATGGACAGATGCCCCTCCACCCAGAAGAATTTACTTCAGAGGACAGCACTGAAGCTACAGCTCAGGGAAAGGGACATTTCTGATAAGAGCACACAGGAGCAAATGAAGGGGGAGGAAGAGAGGGGGGGTCACATCTTGGCCCACCAAACCTTGAGGGCGATATCCCTGCTCAGAGCAGCCAATGCACAGAGAGGACCATATGGCCGGCCCCACTATGAGACACTACATCCCTCACTGACCCATAGCCCTACAGGGGACAGCATGGGAGACACAGAGCAGAATTGTGCCTGCTCTCACCCCACCACACCAGGGTGAAACACTAAGGGCATGCATCAGATTACCAAGGGCAGCAGAGCAAGGAAGTCCTGAGGGAATACCAAAAATAGACTTTGGGGCCAGGGCGAGGCACCCCATCAGACTCTACCAGAAAACACACCTAAATGTCAACAAACAGACCTTGAACTATTTACAGGCTTTTTTTTTGTTTTTTTGCAGGGGGACATGGGAGAGGGGGAGGTGGGGGAAAGGAAGTGGTGTTAACAAACCCAGGGACTAGGGAACAACAAATGATCCTAAATCGGTGGCAAGGAGGATGTAAGAGGCCTGGTAGGGCTTGATCAAGGGCAATGTGAGAGGAATTACTGAAACCAAATGAAGGCTGAGCATGATAGTGGGACAAGAGGAAAGTAAAAGGAAATAGAGGAAAGAACTAGGAGACAAAGGGCATTTATAGAGGTCTAAATACAGGCATGTACATATGTAAATATATTTATATATGATGTCTGGGAAATAGATCTATGTGCATATATGAATAGGTTTAGTATTAAAGTAGCAGATGGTCATTGGGCCTCTACTCAAGTACTCCCTCAATGCAAGAACACTTTGTTGTATTAAACTGGCATTCCATGATGCTCACTTTCCCTACACCATCACTGAAGACAAAGTAGGTGCATAAGCAAATGTGAAGAAAGCTGATGGTGCCGGGCTACCAAAAGATGTAGTGTCTGGGGTCTTAAAGGCTTGAAAGCGGCCATCTAACTCAGAAGCAACAAAACCCACATGGAAGATGCACACCAGCCTGTGTGATCACGAGGTGTTGATGGGATGAGGTATCAGGCATCAAAGAACAAAACCTCATATCATTGTGAATGAGAGGGAATGCAGAGTGGGAACCCAAAACCCATCTGTAAGGCAACTTGGCATTCTCTTAGAGAAGGGTCACTGAGAGGAGACAAGCCAGTCAGGGTGCTGTATAGCACCGATGAAACATACAACTTTCCTCTAGTTATTTAATTCTTCCTTCCCCCCACTATCATGATCCCAATTCTACCTTACAAATCTGGCTAGATCAGAGGATGTACACTGGTACAGATAGGAACTGGAAACACAGGGAATTCAGGACAGGTGAACCCCTCAGGACCAGTGGTGAGAGTGGTGATACCGGGAGGGTAGAGGGAAGGTGGGGTAGAAAGGGGGAACCGATCACAAGGATCTACATATAACCCCATCCCTGGGGGACAGACAATAGAAAAGTGGGTGATGGGAGACATTGGACAGTGTAAGAAATGACAAAATAATAATTTTTAAGTTATCAGGGGTTCATGTCGGGGTGGGAAAGGCTGGGGGGAAATGAGCTGATACCAAGGGCTCAAGTAGAAAGTAAATGTTTTGAGAATGATGATGGCAACAAATGTACAAATGTGCTTGACACAATGGATGGATGGATGGATTTTGATCAGAGTTGTATGAGCCCCCAATAAAATAATTAAAAAACAACAACTTTGTTTTTAAAAAATAAAGATAAATAATTATAAAACAGGCAAAGGACTTGAATAGACTTAAAGGTCAAATAGAACCCCCAAGACTATGGCCTACAGTCTGGAACTGGACTCACCTAGGTTTTAGAATAATCAACCATTTAAAATTAAAAAGATAACATTAACCCAAGGACAGAGTTCAGAGGATTAGGAAAGGAGGAGGAATAGAAGCAGGAAATACAAGGAGGAAGTAGGGTAAAGTGATTGATAAGTGATGGTATTGCTTACTATGTAGTAAGCAGGTGCTCTCCTGGCATAGTGGTTATGTGTTAGGCTGCTAACTGCAAGGTCAATGCTTTTAAACCACCAGCTGCTCCACAGGAGAAAGATAGACTTTGTTCCCAGAAATAGTCTCAGAAACCCACAGTAGCAGTTCAGCCCCCCTATAGGGTCTTTCTAAGTTGGAATTGACCCGATAGCAGTGTTTGGTTTTCATTTATATAGTAAGCACTATTTTAGGCAGTGGGCATTCAACAGCAAGTAGACATAAGAAAGCTCACTTCTGCATTGTTTATAATAACTAAAAGTTAGAAACCGTGTGTCTGTTAACACAAGAATGAATATATTCATATAATGGAAATACTACTTTAGCAGTTAAATGAGAGCTGTATCTATCAACATAAAAATAATCTTAAAAGCAATGTAAGTACACATGTACATAAAGCTATTTATGTTATATAAAGCAATACCAGGTATTCAAAACAGATATGTAAACTTAAAAAAGAAAGCATGGATCTAAATGATAACAAAACTCAGTAGAAATCTCTGAGGTAGGAAAAAGGGAAATTAGATTTATGAAAGATTCATGAGGCTTCAGTTGTTTTTATTTTGTTTTTCTTTTAAGTATGCATTGTATAGTAAGAATTATATTTATGTTTTGTATATCTGGGGCCCTGGCAGTCTGGTGGTTCTTATTGAACTGCTAATTGCAGTCTGTGGTTCAAAAGCACCACCTGCTTTGCAAGAGAAAGAAGAGGCTTTCTACTCCTGTAAAGAGTTAGAGTAAAAAAAAAAAGAGTTAGAGTCTCAGAAACCCACAGGGTGGTTCTGCCCTGTGTTATGGGGTCGCTCTGAGTCAGCATCCACTCCGTGGCCGTGAGTTTGGGTTCTTAAATGATGCTTAGAATAGCTTATAATAATACCGGATGATATCTATAAATTATAAATTTAGATACAGATTATATCTAAATTTTAAATTATAGAGCTGTAGCACAATGAAAAGATATAAAATTAAAATCTTTTGAAGAATTCTCTATAAAAATCTAAGTTGTTACTGTTGGTGAAGTTCATTAGGCTTCCCACCTTCTTTCACTCCAGTGTGCCCCAAATGAGGAATTGCTGATGTTAAATGACTACATGATACCTAAATTAAACCTCCCTTTCTTGAAATAAAACTTACCACATACTTTCTATTTCTAGGAATGTTCTGCTTTTTTGCCTTTTGAATTTTATGTTGCTGAGCTCTTATCCTCATTAATGAATCATTCCTAGTAAGGTGGTTATAGATGTTCTCACTGACATTAAAGAATGATATAAACTGTCAAGAATGAAATGCCACTCTTCTGTTATTCTTTGTAGTAAGTCTCAGCTGTCAAGTGACCTAATGATGTTAGAATTAAATGATCCCATCATCTTTTCCAGATAAATGCAGTCCGTGCAATAGTTCCCAATAAGAGCAACAATGAAATCATCCTGGTCTTGCAGCACTTTGATAATTGTGTGGACAAAACAGTGCAAGCATTCATGGAAGGTAATCCAGTTTTCATATATCTGTATCTATGTATCTATATTTGCTTGTATTTGTTCAAATAGAAGTTGTTTCAGACTTGTATGGCATTCATTCAGCAATCCAGTATTTCATAGGTGGTATAGCAGAGTCCACGATAGCGTAGCCTACCTTTACATTTACATAGCTCATCTTTTTTTAGTTTTAGAAGCATTTCACTCATAAGTGAAAGACATCATCTTTGTACTCAGAATGTTCTCAACTAATATGTAAGAATAAATCCTGGGACCAGTGGTATCAGGAATTTGATGGGAATTGGGCTAGATAAGAATGTAAGAGACTCTTACTGACAAAGGATTGATTTAGTAACCCAGCAGTAGATGACAAATACAGGGACTTAGTTTCTTTTCTAGAATCTAATACTATTTAGTTTGGCTCAAGCAAGTGGCTCAAATGCAGTGGTTCTCAACCTGTGGGTCTCGACCCCTTTGGGGGTTGAATGAACCTTTCACAGGGGTCACCCGATTCATAACAGTAGGAAAATTACAGTTAAGAAGTAGCAACGACAATAATTTTATGGTTGAGGGGTCACCACAACATGAGGAACTGTATGAAAGGGTTGCGGCATGAGGAAGGTTGAGAACCCTTGCTCTAATGTGTGTGGGTTTAAGTTTCCTTATCTGACACATGGAAGAGTGACTGGCCTAGTCAAGTCTTCAGCCTTAGACTTGGGGAATATTTCACAAACTTCTCTCCACATAACTTGTTTGAGGAAACCTTAACCTTGATGTCAGATAGGACTCTGCATTTTCTGAACTGTGAGTTTGCCTATAGAGGATTACAGTGGTTGATAAAGTCCACCTGAAACCACCCTCAGTTCAGTAACTCATTAGAAGGGCTCGCAGAAAGCCGGTATGCTCATGGGTAAATTTTATTTCACTGAGGTGATTATGTGAGCCACAGACAACAGACAGAGTTGAAAAGCATCCCAAACATGGGATCATGAGTATTGTCAAGTAGGAGAGCACACCTGACGTGCTCAGTGCACCTGAGTTCTCATTGGGGCACCATGGTTGACTACCTACGTGGCTGACCTTTAGTCTCCAGCCCCTCAGAGGTAAAGTGGGTACTGAATGGCTCAAAGTCCCCCTCAGAAATCACATTGTTAAGCCTGCCCAGTGGCTGAGGCCTTCCAAGTCAACAAAGGTAAGGTACTCTCCCTAGTGGTTCCCTTCCAGGAAGCGAAGGCTAAGGCCAGACCTCCTCTCTTTCTTTGGGCAAGGTTAATGCTTACTACACAAAGCTAAACAGCCAGATGCAAACACCATATGGTTTTCCTTCTCTGCATCTGGTTTCTTTATAATGTTAGTATTTTGTTCTGGGCAGTGTAAGATGTGCAGCTCTTTCCAAAACAAATAAGAGTATAGCCAAGGTAGTGTATGGAACCTTCTGGAGGAGAGGGCATGGCACACTTAAGTTAAGCCAGTCCCCTTTTATTTGGTCCAAGATGTATGAATAGAAGAATCATCCAAATGGCCAGGCTACATTAATGTCTTTCTTTCTTTCCTTTTTGGGGGAGGGTGGTAGGGGGAGAACTTGCTATACAAATTAGATGGAGAAGGGAGATCAGAATAGGAAAATATTCCAAAAGATAATCACGTTGTAATTATCCCCTTACCTTAGCTCAGAGACATGAACTTTAACTTTCCCTGTTAGGAGCTTTGGAAATCCTCAATCAATTACAAAATACAGAGGCATGAATTCCTGCTTGACTGTGTGTGGCAGGAGAGAAAATTTGCAATTGGTCTTTCTTCCAGGTAGTGCCAGTGAAGTACTCAAAGAATGGACAGTAACAGGCAAGAAAAAGGTAACAACGAATCAACTATTAACAGCATGGTGTTGATACTGGTATAATTAAGAAATATTCAGACTCTGCCAAGATGTTTGAAAGAAATTATTTACAGACCCATCTTCAGGTTACCATGCAAACATGTCTCCACCTGTGACTTTGAAACCCAGGTCTCTCTAGCTTAGAGTGCTGGTCTTGGCCATGTGACTTAAGGTTTGACTACAGTGGACTTTACCGTGGAGCCATTGTTGAGGGGACCTTGACGTTAGGAAAGTGAAATGAAAGAATGTGTCAGGGAATGAAGAACTCCTCTAGAGAAAGTCACCTGGCCCATGGTTTTCAACATCATCGTACCGTAGATCCATTGAAATACTTAAGACTGTTAGTTCAGACCACTGTTCTATTCTTAATTCGCTGTGTGGTAGTTCCTGATATTAATGAACTTTGACTTAAAACCTAAAGGGGGCCTTTGTTCTTATAGCTACTAAGTACCTTACAGAGTGGCCTGTTGTTCCACTTAAGGGAAGGAGAAGGCACTTGGTCCTGGCGTCAGTCCTGTTCCTCTGCTTACTGACTTTGTGACCCTTTAGGGTTGTTGATGTGCAGGCACTGTTAGGTGCCTTCATCTGCTCCTCTCTAAAACAGGAACAGAATACTAACAAATAACAAGTACAATGCCTCACGTTAGGTCTTGCTCTCTTCCCATCCACTTGAGACTAAAATGCTTCCCCCTCCACCCCCCCCCCCAAAAAATACTAGCTGGTCTCTAAAAGCTCAGCACCCTAAATCTAGCTCCTTTAGAAAATGCCTAAAGTATTGATTTAAGACAGGTTTCTCTATTAAATGTATTACTGCATATAGCTAGTTAAGGTGTCCTTATCCTATATTATCACTGCTGGAATTCTTTCTTGATGACTCTTAATCATTTCATTAGCACCATCAGGTCCTGATCAAACCCAGGGTTGGTCCCAGTGGCATTGAAGAAATTTCTCCAAGGAGAAGCTAATACAACTACAGATTCCCATGGGGTTCATTTGCTTGACATTTGCTTCTCTTCCTCCCACTGCTTTTACCCTACCACACATAGGTGTGTGTGCGCTGACGAACACCATTTCTTAATATAGTGACCCAGGACTGTAAGTTCCTAATGATCTAAAATAAACTGAAGCTGGAAACGTCTTGTGTATGTTGCAGACACACAAAATATGGAGAAAGAAAATTAATATCACTTTGGTGATCCACAACAGCCAAATCCAATCCAGTCCACTGTCAGGATTAGTCTAATAAGAACTGATTGTGAGCAGTTATTAGATGAGTTTTTATTTACGTGGGAGAGTGATAGGAAATCTCAGCTGTTCTGTCTGCGAGAAAGTACTTGACAAAGAAAAGGAGAGCCGTGCGATTCTAACTAGAGCACCTTGAGAATGGTCGTGCTCCTTCTGGAGAACGATCGATGGATATCAGGCTGCCCTGAGGGATAAGATTAATTATTACCAATAGAGGTGTGGGTTTGTTTATTTTAATTTCAGTGTTTGTATAGATAATACAGTCACATGGTTCAAAATTCAAAGGGTATAAAAGTGAATGCACTGAAATGTCTTTATTCCACCCCTGTTCCCTAGCAATCTGGTCTGCTGTTCTAAAACAGACAGCATTTTTCCTTCGTGTAATACGTCTTTCTTGTTACTTATGGATATGTAGTCATTTTACTGGTAGGCTGTACCATAGCTTATTTAAACCTACTGGTCAACATTTGGGTTATTTCTAATGCTTGACTATTAACAATATTGCATTTGGTACATACATTAGTGTCACTGCAGGATAAATTCTTGGAAGTAAAGTTGTTGGTCAAAGGATATATGCATTGTAATGATGGTAAATATTATTAGATTGCCATTGAAAAAGTTCCAGTTCACACTCCCACCAGTGATCAGTGAGAATGTCTGTTTCCCCACAAACTTAGCACCCCCCCTAGTGCTATCAGACTTACTAGGTTTGATTAATTTAAACCTGATAAAAATACAATTTTAATTTATGTCTCTTACTAGATGAAGGTTGTATTTCATCCTGTATGTCTATATTCTATATCACTTTTCTACTGGGTTGTTGATTTTTTGGCTTTGTTTTTTTTTTTTTAGCATTTTATTAGGGGCTCATACAACTGTTATCCCAATCCATACACACATCAATTGTGTAAAGCGCATTTATACATCGTTTCTCAAAACATTTTCTCTCCATTGAAACCCCCGACATTAGGTCCTCAGGCTTTGTTTTTTAAGTTGCATGCTTTGTTTGTTTGTTTTTCACATCTTATTATTTATCTTTTTATTTTGCTTATGGTCATTTTTGCCAGACAGACGTTTTTAATTTATGTGTTTGAATTTTTTCTAAGTATAAGATTTTGCACACAGTTATTCCAGGTAGTACTTCAGTATAATAAAAAACTTGTGGACCTGCTGGAAGAATGTGCAAGAAATCAGAAATACTGGTTTCTTTGGGGGTCTGAACTTTAGCCCTCTGGGGTGTTGGGATCATGTTTTTTCCTTGGTCACATCTTTCATAACCCTTAGAACAAAAAGAAGAAAAGCAAACCAAAACCTGCAGCAGAAGCAGCTAACAGTATCCCAGATCCCAGGAAACTGGCTTCCATCCAAGAGGAACCGCCAGCACCTTCCTCAGAGAAAGGAGGTCTTAATGGTTACCATGTCAATGGTGCCCTCAACGATACCGAGTCTGTGGACTCCCTCAGTGAAGGTTTGGAGACACTTTCGGTGGATGCCAGAGAACTGGAGGATCCTGAGTCCGCCACATCAGACATCCAGGCACTAGATAGAACAGGTGAGCTGATTCGTGGTTTTTTGTTTTTTAAGTTGCATTCAGTTGAAAAATACAGAGTCCCCATTGATGAGAAAGCTATCAACACATTAAACCTCATTGGTCTTTCTTTTGTTTGAGTTTTTGTTACTTCTGTGAAAGAGTCATCTTTTGCAGTTATCCAAGGCCTAGAAAAATAGAATTTTCAGTTAGTTGTCACATAAGTTGAACTTCAGTCTAAATCAGGCTGACTTAATAGAAGTAATTTTGTTTTGTTGTGGAGAATCCATGCAGCAAAATCTATGCCAGTTCAGCAACCTTGATTACTTTCTTCCCATTGTGCAGCCATCCACACCAGCCTTTACAGAATTGCCCACGGTCCCTAAGATTCCTGTCTACTCTTTTGAGAGGCTCTTGTCACTCTGCCCATTTAAAAAAATAAAACTAACAACATCCACTGCTATTGAATAGATTCTAGCCCCTACTGACTATACAAATTAGAGTCAAACTGCCCCATAAGGTTCCAACGCTGTAAATGTTACAGAAGCCAACTGCCACATCATTATCCTGCCTATGAAGCAGCCGGCAGATGCAAACCAAGGACCTTTAGGGTAGCAGCTGAGCACTTTAGCCTCTATACCACCAGGGCTCGCTGATCCCTCTGTAGGTTGTTCTTAAAGGTGTCTAATGCTCAAGGAAGACATATTTCCTAGTTACATACACTAAACTACAGTTTTAAGAAGACTTCAGGGAATATTTCTGTTTAAGTTTAAAGATTGTAACAGTGTGGTAGTTTCAGAGGTTCATCCAGCTCCCATGGTTCTAGAAAGTCAGGATCCCTTGAAATTTTGAAATTCTCTTCTGCATGTCTCCCTTTTTGATCAGGAGTCTTCTATAAATCTTGAATCAAAATGTTGAGTTATGGTAGCCAGATACCATCCAGTTCTTCTGGCCCCGTGGCAAAGGAGGCAGTTGTTTGTGGATGCAGTTAGCTCCACATTCCACATTCTCCTGCCCATGATTCTGCATCTTCCCCGGTTACTCCAGGTAAATAGAGACAATTATTGGGCCTTAATGGACACTTGGAAATTGTTAAAATCCTAGGCGCTATGCAAAGAACTAGGAGGTAGAAGAGAAATGTAAAATGCATTGTTAGGCCAATTAACTGGGCTGTCCTGTGGTCCTAATCCTTCAAACCAAGGCTCCAAATCCCATGATGTGTTTGAGGATGCACAAGCTCAGCAAGCTTAGCAGCTAGTCTCTCTCTCTCTCTCTCTCTCTCTCTCTCTCTCTCTCTCTGGCATTGTTTATGTAGATCACACAACTTTTGCCAGTTGAACTTTTTACAGGTGTACAACCTATTGACAACAATTAAGACAATCAGCTGTGCAGCCTTAGTCTTAAAGCAATTTTGCCATTACTATTAACCTTCAGGCCCCACCCCTGGTAACCACTAATAAACTTTGGTTTCTGAGCATTTGCTTATTCTTGTATTTTTATATAAATGAAGTCACATAATATTTGCCCTTTTATGCTTGACTTATGTCTCAGCAAAATGTTTGGAGCTCCATCGCTATCATAACATGTATCAAGACTTCCTTTTTACTCATTGAGCAGTATTTCATTGACGCATGTGCCATATTTTGTTTATCCATCCAGCTGTTTGTGGGCAGTTAGGTTATGTCCACCTTTGGGCTGCTGTGAGTGGTGCTGCAATGAGCATTGCCATATAACTCTGGTTGTGAGTCTCTGCTTTCAAGTCTTGTGTGTGTGTACCTTAGAATGGAATAGCTGGATCACATGGTAGTTTGCTTTTTAACGTTTTTGGGAACGCCACAGTTTCCCATATCAGCTACAATACTTGCATTTCTACTGGCAGTGGGGAACGGTCCCAATTTTCCCATATCCTCTCTACTGTTTGTTATTTTCTGGGTTTTGAAGGTTTGTTTTTTTCCCTAGTCATCCTAATGGCAGTTAAATGATAGCTCTGTGATTTTTGTGTCTCTGCTAACTAATGGTAGCCTAGCATCTTTTTATGTGTTTGGTGGTCATTTGAATTCCCTCTTGGTGAAATGTCTATTCAAGTCCTTTGTCCATTTGATGATTGAGTTTTTTACCCTTCTGTTATAACCATTTTACAGCTCTACTATGCACATTTCTGTCCTTAATCCATTTAAAATTTGTTGTTGTATATGGTACGAAGCATGGATCCTCTTTAATTTTTCTATGTGTGGAAATTCAATTTTCCCAGCACCATTTTTTGAGGAGGCTCATTTTTTCTCATCAAATGGACTTAGTACCTTTGTCAAAAATCATTTGGCCATGGATGTGTGGGTTTGTTTCTGAAGTTCTCAATTTTGTCTCATTGGTTACATTTAATATTTAGGTAACTGCAAATGATTAATTTTAGATGTTTAAAAAACTTGTAAGCTTATTGAGATGGATATTGATGGTGATATTATTCTAAGACCCAATGCAATGAGGACCTTATAATAACAACTGTCATCTTGGCTTTCATTAGAACAAGACTTTTGGCTTCTGTGATCCCATATTTGTTTCCTAGTAAAGAGTTATGATTGCTGTTAGTTCTAAATACAAGTATCTTGCATATTATTTTGGTTTGTTTTGTTGAGGACTGACTAGGAAGATAGTAGAATCTCCCAAATAATTTTATGAATTATTTATCCAATTCCCCTGTCTTGCTGCTCCTGCATTTTATAAATGTAATGCCAATTTAAGAATGATACTGTATGTTTAAAATGTCCTTTTATTGATTCATTCATAAATTGTAGAGACTTAGGGGGAAAATGCTATACCTACATTGATAGCAAGGAAACCAGTGATAGCTATGGGTTCATTCTTTTTTCCTGAGCTCTCTCTGCTCTCATATCCCAACTCTTTCCCTTTTCTGTGTCCTATAACTTGTAAACTTCTTTTCCTGAGACACTGTAAAATTCTACCCTCTACTGTGGGGGAAGGGCCAGCCTGCACAACTAATCTTGGGTTTGATAGGCGCAATTGTACAGTTGAAATATATATATATTTAGTCATAGAGAGTGAGAGAGATCGAAATAATGGAGTCAGACACATTTCATGGTAGCATGCTCACCTCAGCCTCACTTGGTGGTCCACGTGGAGAGAGAGAGAGACCAGAGGGCAGGAGAGGGGGGAGGGGAAGGAAGACAAGGGGAAAGGGAATAGGGGAGCAAGGGGCGGGAGGAAGGCGGAGCCGACGAGAGGCCAAAGGGGATCTTTATTGCTAACCCAGGCTTATATATCTTTGGGGGGCGTGCAAGCCCACTAATTACAGGTAAAGACATAAGTCACAGGTAGGGCTTGTACTATAGGTAATAAAACAGCAGTGAGAGGGGGATGTTCTAGGGCAGGCATCATCAAACTACGGGCCTGTGAGCCACATGTGGCCTGCTGAGGACATTTATCTGGCCCGCCCGGTGTTTTTGCCCTGTTTGTTTTTTTACTTCAAAATAAGATGTGTGCATAAGAATTTATTCATAGTTTTTTTTTTTAACTATAGTCCAGCCCTCCAACGGGTCTGAGGGCCAGTGAACTGAAACCTGTTTAAAAAGTTTGAGGACCCCTGGAATAGACAGTCGATGACTCACATTGAAGCTGAAGAAATTAAAGCAAGTCCATGAGAGCCAAAGTATGACCTCGAGTGTCTCCC